ACACATCCAAACTCCATGAGGGACTGAGTTACTGGGCTGAGGGCTGGGGACCATGGTCTCAGGGACATCTAGCTCAATTAGCATAACATAGTTTATATATAAAGAAAATGTTCTACATCCTACTTTGGTGAATAGTGTCTGGGGTCTTAAAAGCTTGTGAGCAGCTACCTAAAATATTCCACTGACCCCACCCCGTCTGGAGCAAGGGAGAATGAAGAAAACCAAAGACACAAGGGAAAGATTAGTCCAAAGGACTAATGGACCATAACTACCACAGCCTCCACCAGACTGAGTCCAGCACAACTTGATGGTGCCCAGCTATCACCACTGACTGCTCTGACAGGGATCACAATAGAGGGTCCCGGACAGAGCTGGAGAAAAATGTAGAACAAAATTCTAACTCACAAAAAAAGACCAGACTTACTGGCCTGACAGAGACTGGAGAAACTCCGAGAGTATGGCCCCTGGACACTCTTTTAACTCAGTACTGAAGTCACTCCTGAAGTTCACCCTTTAGCCAAAGATTAAACAGGCCTATAAAACAAACAATAACCCACGCAGTTCAACTACGTATATGAGACTAAATGGGCACACCTGCTGAAAAGCAACAGCGTGAAGGCAGAAAGTGACAGTAAAAGTAGACAAATGGAAATGGGGAAACTGAGGTTGAGAAGGGGAGAGTGTTAATACACCATGGGGTTAGTAACCAATGTCACAAAACAGTTTGATTATTGTTTAATGAGAAACTAATATGCTCTGTAAACTTCCACCTAATGCACAACTTTAAAAAAAAAAGAGAGAGAAAGAAATCAGCTGATGTATTGCATTGGGCAAATCTGCTGCAAAAGACCTCCTTAAAGTGTTGGAAAGCAAAGACGTCACTTTGAGGACTAAGATGAGCCTGATCCAAGCCATAGTATTTTCAATCACCTCTTATGTGTGTGAACCTGAACAATGAACAAGGAAGACCAAAGAAGAATTGATGCCTTTGAATTATGGTGTTGGCAAAGAATATAAAATAAACCATGGACTGCCAGAAGAATGGACAAATCTGTCTTGGAAGGAGTACAGCCAGAGCGTTCCTTGGAAGTGAAGATGGCGAAACTTCATCTCATATACTTTGGACATGTTATCAAGAGGGATCAGTCCCTGGAGAAGGACATCATGTTTGGTAAAGTAGAGGGCCAGGGAAAAAGAGAAAGACCCGCAACGAGATGGATTGACAGAGTGGCTGCAACAATAGCCTCAAACATAGCATCATGGATTGAGCCGTGTCCTCAAAAAATACCTATCAGCATGGCTAGGTCATGATTCCCAGTATTGTATGATTGTCTACCATTTTGTCATCTGATGTGATTTCCCTATGAATTGTAAATCCTGTCACTATGATGTTAATGAAATGGATTAGGGGCAGTTACATTGATGAGATCTGCAAGATTAGATAGTGTCTTAAGCCAATATCTTTTGAGATATGAAAGAGAGAAGAGAGGAGAGAGATGAGGGGACCTCATACTACAAAGAAAGCAGCACCTGGAGCAGAGTGTGTCCTTTGGACTGGAGGTTCCTGCGCTGAGAAGCACCCAGACCAAAGGGAGATGGATGACAAGGAACTTCCTCCAGAGCCAAAAGAGAGAAAGACTTCCCCTGGAACTGATGCCTTGAATTTGGACTTGTAGCCTATTAGACTGTGAGAAAATAAATTTCTTTTTGTTAAAGCTATCCACTTGAGGTATTTCTGTTACAGCAGCATAGATAACTAAGACACATAGCAACAATTGTGAGGATGTCACAGGGTTGGGCAGTGTTTCATTCTGTTTTGCATAGGGTGGCTGTGAGTTGGAACTGACTTGAGGGCATCTAACAACAACAACAAGCCTTCTAAACTGTGAGAAAATAAATTTCCCTTTGTTAAAGCCATCAACTTGTGGTATTTCTGTTATAGCAGCACTAGATAACTATGACATGGACCAACCCTGTTAAAGCCTAAACCCAGCACTTGGCAGGATTAAGGCGATTTGCCCATACTCTGCCTTTCTTTTGGGAGGAACATAAAATAATACAGAGCCTCTAAAAGTTAATAACTAGGTGGCTGGACAACACAAATTGTTCATCGCTGGACTACTAATCGAAAGGGTGATGGCTTGAACCCTCCCAGAGGCTCCTCGGAGGACAGGCCTGGCAATCTGCTTCTGAAAGGTCACAGCCTTGAAAGCCTTACGGAGCAGTCCTACTCTGCACACATGGGTCACCAAGGGTCGGAATTGACTCGATGTCAACTAACAGCAGCAGCAGGAAAAGTTAATAACTAATAGCTAATAGAGGATAAAAACATGGAATAATAAAAAAAAACTATGATTCATCCCAATAAAAGCCAAGAAAGGAGAAATAAAGGCATAACGAACAGATGGGATAAATAGAAAACAAATAACAAGATAGTATGCTAAAACAAATATTTTAATAATTATTAAATGCTAATGGATGAATATTCCAATTAAAAGATCAAAATTATCAGACTATAAAAAGCAAACACTAACCAAAAGAAAACTGGTATAGCTAAATTCATATTAAGACTTTAAGGCAAGAAATATTTGTGTAGATAAAGAGGAATATTTTATAATGACAAAATGGTCACTTAACAGTAAGATAAAACAATCCTAAATTTTTATGCAACTAATAGCATGATCTCAACACATACTAAGCAAAGTTGACGGAACTAAAAGGAGAAGTAGAAAAATCCATAATCATTTCTGGAGATTTTAACATCTCTCTCAATAATGGATGAAATGAGCAGACAAAAAAATCAGTAAGGATATAGAAGATTAGAATGGCACAAGTAACCAACTTGACCTAACTGACATATATCAAATACTGCACTTAACAACTGCAGAATAAACATTGTTTTCAGGAACTCCTGAAACTTACCAAAATGGACCGTATGTTGGGCCATAAAGCAAGTTTCAGCAAACTGCAAAGGATTGAAGTCATACAAAGTATATTCTTTGACTGCGTGGCATCAAACTAAAAATCAGTAACACGAAGATAATTAGAAAATCCCTAAATGTGTGGAAATTAAGCAACACATTTTCAAATAACTTGTAAGTTCAAAAAGAAATTGCAATGAAATTAGAAAATATTTTGAACTGAAATAATAATGAAAAAAATGACATATCAAAATATTTGGGACGCAGGTAAAGCAGGGGTTAAAGGGAAACTCCCAGGTTTAAATGTATATATTCAAGAAGAATAATGCCTGAAAATCCACATGATCTAAACTTCCATCTCAAGAAGCTAGAAAAAGAACAGTAAATTAAACCCAAAGAAATTAGAAGGAAGGTGATAACAAAGAGCAGAAATTATTGAAATTGAAAACAAATATACAGTAAAGAAAGTCTATAGATTCTAAAAGGGACATGAGATGGCTTCCTTTGTTTCTCAGTAAAGGTTTGTTGTAAAAACTTCCCTTGACAATATAAAGTAGTATTGGAATATAATCAATATAAAATAAATATCTATGAGTCCATACTGTTACAAATAAATGGTTGACTAAATTAATAAATGAGGGAGAAGAGATAAATCTCCTGTGCAGAAGAATTCCAAACAAATCATCTAGATATTCCACCCAAAAGAAGATGAGGCATAATTTCTCACTCTTTAAGTGTGGACTGTACATAGTGACTTCCTTCCTAAGAGTACACTATAGAAAGGGGTAGGAGGGTTGAGTAACTTTACAGTGGAGAAACCTGGCAACTGCTACCTCAGCCATGATGAAGGTCAACATCAACAGTTATAAATCAAGTTGATACCATGTACCCTTGATATGATGTAGTGAAAAAGCCTCTTTGCCTCTGTGATTCTCCTCCCAAAAAGCCTTAACCCCAATCTAATCATGAGGAAAACATCAGACAAATAGAGGGACCCTCAAAATACCTGACTCCTCAAAGCTGTATGGTTATCGGAACAAGAAAAGACTGAGAAGCTGTCACAGACAAGAGGAGGCAAAGGAGATACCATAACTAAATGTAAGGTGGTGTCCCAGGTGGGATCTTGGAACAGAAAAAAGACATTAGGTCAAAACAAAGGAAATCAGACTTCAGATAATTAAAAAAAAAAAAAAAATGCCCTTGAATCTTGGCTATACTAAGGGAGTGGCCTACGTGAGACCTGCAGGAACTGAGTTGGAAATCCCAGGAAGATATAGTAGAAATGGAGCAGAAAGTCAGGTGAAGGCTCTCAAGCCAATGACTGTAAGGAGTAGCTATGGCTGTTTGTTCCCCTCCTAGGTTAAAATTTAGTTGGGAAGGCTATATAAACATTTAAGAATATTAAATTAACAACAGAAGGTAGTGTGTTGGCCAAAAAACACCTTAGAGGCAGTAACTGGTGTAGGAGTTGAAAAAGAGAAGCCTGCAAGTCCGCTTCTTCTTCTATGCCAAGTTTATTCTTCCTCTAGCTGTCCTCCCACCTACACGGCTGAGGGTGGGGACGATGGATATGTGAAACATTGCCATAAGTACACAATAAGAGTCCACATTTTATGTTCAGGGAAAAGGTAAATACACTACATAAAACCCTATTAATTTAAATTTCTATAATTCAAAAGCACATTATCCTATCCAAGGTTGACAAAGCATACCTTTGTAGTATGGAGACATAGACCGCTAATCAAGTTAATGGTGTATGCAAAGCTGTGTTGGAGGTGGAAACGGAGGAAGGCATGATTTGGAAGGCACTTGACGCCTGCTAACGATTATGGTAAAGCCACATTAAGTTGCCAATTTGGCATTTGTGCCGAAATTCAGGTCTAGTTCTGAATTTTACCTTTGTTAAATAGAATCTTTCTTCAAGATAGAAGGGTGTTTTAAAGGCTTTCTTTCTCTGATTTCTCAAAACACCCTTAAATACAAATTATGGTTTTACAGAATATTCTTATTTTATAGAATAGTCTCTATTTCAAGACACCGTCAATTGTAGTTCACCATTAATTTAATAATAATATTCAGAATAAAAGAAAAACTGTATTTGTGTGTCATCCTTGTGTAGGGGCCATGCTAATCTTCTCCATATTGTTCCAAATCCGGCATATGTGTTGCTGAAGCTAGCAAGAAAAAGTACATTTTATATGCGAACTCATTTTAGGACACATTCTGATTTTGGAAATAGTAAACATGAAAAATGTCCATCTTAAAATTAAAGAAATTCCATAGCCATAATTACTCCTGAGCTTCAGACCCTTATAATTCAAGTACTTGCTGGACACATTCATTTCTATTTCCAATAGATATTCCAAACTCAATGCCTCTGAAGTTCAACTCATCATCCCATCAATTCCCTCACCCAAACCTGCTTCCATTTTCATTATCCATTTCTATTTCAATTATTGAAAACTTGCTCAAGTCAGAACCTTGACTGATGCTTTCTCTCACCTTCCACTTCCAATCAATCACCAACCTCTGTCCATTCTACCTCCTAAACATGTTTTGAACCTATCAACTCCCTCCTATCCCCACAGCCTCCACCCTTGCTCACACTGCCAGCCTCTCTCTCCTGCAAGCCTGCAACAACCTCCCAACCCATCTCAGCCTTCTCCTTGCTGCAGCTGGAGCAGTCTTTAAAAACCCTGTGCTCCTTCAAACCTTTCCAATAGCTTTCCAAGGCCCTTAGAATAAAATATCATATCCTTATTATGTCTTCCAAGGCCCTTTGTCTGGGAACCCATGCTTGTTCTCCAGTCTCACCTCACTTCACTTGCCTCCTTGCTCCATAAACTCCAACTGTATTAGATTTCTTTCAGTTCCGCAGGTATTCTTGGAATTGTCTGCCCCCCTTTTCATCTCCCTCTCTTCCCCTTTGTTTAGCCTATGCTTGTACATCCTTCAGACCTCAGCTAAAACGTCACTTCCTCAAAGACGCCTTCCCTGATTCCCAGATTAGGCAAGGCCTTCTGCTCTAAGTCTTGTACTCATTTGTTCAAATTCATCTTCCCCTCTGGGCTGTAAGCTATGTTCCCATACTGGACTTAATGCCTGACACACAGTAAGCTCTCCTTAAAATTCTGGTGAAGGTATTAAAGAATAAACATTCATATATATGTTGTGATATATAATAATGGTTAAGAGCATGCACTCTGGAAGCAGACTTCTGGGTTCATAGTCCAGCTTCCCCACTTATGGTTGTTGTTAGATGCAGTCAAATTGGCTCCAACTCATGGCAACTTTATATATAACAGAAGAAAACACTGCCCAGTCCTGCACCATCCTCACACTCTTTGGTGTGTTTGAGCCCATTGTTGGCCCCACCGTGTCAATCCATCTCATGGAGGGTTTCCCTCATTTTCACCAAACATGTCTGGTTTCCCTCTACTTTACCAAACACGATGTCCTTTTCTGGCGATCAGTCTTTCCTGATGATGTGTCCAAAGTCAGCAAGACAACGTCTTTCCACCTTCACCTCTAAGGAGCATTCTGGTTGTACTTCCTACAATACAGATTTGTTCATTCCTCTGGCAGTCCATGGTATATTCAATATTGTTTTTCAGTACCAATATTCATATGCATCAATTCTCCTTCCTTTTAATTGTCCAGTTTTCACACGCATATGAGGGGATTGAAAAGACCATGGCTTGGATCAGGCACACACCTTCGTTATCAAAGTGACATCTTTGTTTTTTAAAACTTTAAAGAGGTCTTTTGTGGCAGATTTTCCCAATACAATACGTCATTTGATTTCTTGACTGCTGCTTCCGTGGGCATTGATTGTTGATCCAAGTAGAATGAAATCATTCCTAACTTCAATTTCTTCACCATTTATTATGCTGTTGTTTATTGGTCCAGTTGTGAAGATATTCATTTTCTTTGTGTTCAGGTGTAATCCATCTTGAAGGCTGGAGTCTTTGACCTTCATCAGTAAGTGTTTTAAGTTGTCTTCACTTCAGGCAAGCAAGCGTATGATGCATCATCTGCACATCGCAGATATTAGCAGGTGACATATTACTTAGCCTCTCTGTGTCTCAGTTTCTGCATTTGTAAATGAGTATAACAATGCTTTTTCATGAGCAGTTATGAGGACTGAATAAGTTAGTGTGTAACACACTTAGGATGTTGTCTGGCACATAGAAAGCACCCAGTAAATATTAGTTACTATTATCTCATTTATCTCTCCCAACAATCCTAGGAAGAATTATAGTCAGTAAACTGAGAGATGCATACAGTAAAAGTCTTCAGAATTTGAGGATGAGGTAAGGAACATGTCACTGTCTTGAGATGAAACTACCAAAAGTCAACAAAAAGCCTAAATTCAGCCATCAACTAAAGTAGGCCTTCCTGCAGGGACGGATTGGATTGAAGCTGTGATAAGGCTTTTGGAATCATCCAAAGGAAGTGAGGTAGGCGGATGCATCTTCAGGCCCAGACTCCAAGATTAAGTGAGATAATGCATACTAAGAGCACTTAGAAAAATAATAAAGTATGATACAAATGTTTCTAGTTGTGACTACTGTTATTATTAGTACAGTAATTCTATTACCCAACTAATGGTATTGTAATCTGACTGTCTGCAGCAACACAGTTGTCCGTAATTAGAAGAACCTATTAGAACAGGTAGAAGAACCAAAGAACTGGGAAGGAAGAAATTGTTCATGTTTACCCAGTACAATCCAAACAAGAGGAATAGAGAAATGCTCCTGTGAGGCAGAAAGGTCAAATTCATGGAACAAAATTTCCCCTGAGACCTTGCAAACCCCTTCATTCTAATTGTCAATGCTTGTCAAGCAAGTACTATCCCTTGATCAGCTTTGCATGTACCAGGAAGTAGAGTAACTTGGATAAAAACCAAAAAAAAAACACACCTGTTGCTGTCGAGTCAATTCTGACTCCTAGAGACCCTATAGAACAGAGTAGAACTGCCCCATAGAGTTTCTAAGGAGCACCTGGTGGATTCATACTGCCAACCTTTTGGTTAGCAGCCATAGCTCTTAACCACTACGCCACCAGGGTTAACTTGGATAGTAATCAGTATAAAATTAATAAATGAATATTCATTCATTCAGTCACCAAATACTTGTTGAGCCGCTACTACATTGCAGGAGTCCCTGGGTGGTGCAACTGTTAAGCACTTGACTACTAACTGGTGGTTTGAACTCACCCATAGGCACCTTAGAAGAACAGCCTGGTGATCTGCTTCTGAAAGGTCACAGCCTTGAAAAGCCTATGGAGCAGTTCTACTCTGTACGCATGGGGTCATCATGAGCCGAAAGCAACTTGACAGCAACTGGTTTTACTATATGGCAGCAATGGCCACACAGTGGTGAGTAGGTTAGTGAGGAAGTGGTGAGTAATAAGTAATAAGTAATCACACACAAAAAACATAACTGCATATTCTGTAAAGGCTATATTAGACTGAGAGATTATGAAAGGCTTTTCTGAGACTGGGACCTTTACATGGAGCTAGGAGTTAGCTGGCCGATGGGGTGAAGGGGAAACCATCAGGCAGAAGGTAGTAAAGAGATTGGAAGGGGTACGGAAGGAAGGGGTCAAAGGAGAGAAGGACACCCATGGAATGAGCCTGCAGAGGGTAGGCTGGGATCAGATCACAAAGGGCCTTAGAGACCACTTGGAGGTACTTTTGATATATCTCTAGTATAACATCTGAGGATAAGATTAGATTTGTCTTCTAGGTCAGTTGGCATAACAAAGTTTATTAAGAAAATGTTCTGCATCCTACTTTGGTGAGTGGCGTCTGGGATCTTAAAAGCTAGCAAGTGGCCATCTAAGATGCATCAGCTGGTCCCAACCCACCTGGAGTAAGGGAGAATGAACAACACCAAAGACACAAGGAAAGCATTAGCTCAAGAGACAGAAAGGGCCACATAAATTGGAGACTGAAACAGCCTAAGACCAAAAGAACTAGATGGTGCCTGGCTACCACTAATGACCACCCTGACGGGGAACACAACAGAGAGTCCCTGTTGGAGCAGGAGAAAAGTGGGGTGCAGAACTCAAATTCTAGTGAAAAGACTAGTCCTAAGAGTCTGACTGAGACTGGAGGAACCCCAGAAAGCTTGGCCCCCCAGACTCTGTCAGCCCAGCGCTAAAACCATTCCTGAGGCCAACTCTTCAGTCAAAGATTAGACTGGTCTATGGGACATAAAATGATACTTGTGAAGAGTGTGCTTCTTAGCTCAAGTAAATACATGAGATTAAATGGGCAGCTCCTGTCCGGAGGTGAGATGAGAAGGCAGAGAGGGTCAGAAGCTGGTGGAATGGACACGGAAAATCCAGGGTGGAAAGGAGAAATGTGCTGTCACAGTATAGGGAGAGCAATTAGGGTCACATAACAACGTGTGTATAGATTTTTGTCTGAGAGACTAAAGAATTATAAACTTTCACTTAAAGTACAACAGAAAAATAAAATTAAAAAAAAAAGATTAGATTTGTCTTGTGGGATTTGTGCTTTAAAAAAGATCTTTCTGGTTGCTAAGTAAATGATGGGGTGGGGGGACATTAAAGTGGAAATGGAGACACCAGTTAGGAGAACTTTGCAGTGGTCCAGTCAAACGATGATGGTAACTTGGACTGTGTGGTGGCACTAGACAGAAGTGGACAGATTTGTGATAATTTTAGGAAATAGGATTAATAGGTGATCGATTGGAAGTGGGAGAGGAGTATGAAGAAGCTGCCCTGGGATTCCTGCTTGAGCAAGTGGGTTGAAGAGGTGCCATTCATCACCCAGCTGAGCAAGAATGAGGACTAGGTTGGCTGTGGCAGGGGTGGGTTGTGGATGCTATGAGTGCACAAGAATTCGATTTGAATGTTAGTGGGAGAAGCACATGAGACCTCCCAGTGGAATTGTCAAGTGGCCACTGAGACACATGGCAATGAAGCTTAGTGGACAGGTCCAGACGGAAGCCACGTTTGGGAGTTGCTGGCATTTTAAGCCTTGGGATTAGACAGGTCACCTAGGGACAAAGTGTATCAAAGAACTGAAGAGAAGCAGCAGTCTATTATGAACTGTATTCTCATGACTCACATTGCTAATAAGCCTGAAAACTTGACAATCATTTCTTCAGCGGTGACTCCACTAAGGTGGCTTGCCAAAACAAACAGAA